TCCTCTATTTCCCTTGATTCTCCTCCTGTCCCACTATCATGCTCAGTCCGCACCAGGATTTCAGCACTTCCTCTTTGTTACGTTCCCCTTGATCATGCCCTACCAGGTCTCCCACACCTACCTCCCCACCAATTTGGATCGTTTGTTGTTCCCTTGTCCCTGGGCTTCCTAGATATTTATTAAGTACTTTTCGAGAAAAATCTTCACATCAACTTCGCATCCTTCCTTTTATTCCCCAATTCCTCCTCCGGACCCCTTCTGCTGTCCCTCTGAGAAATGCAGGCCTTCGGCCAAGGAGGGCCCAGAGCTGTCCGTCCAGGGGGGTCTGGGCCTCATCTGACTCCGCGTCTGCTGCACGGCCTATCTTAGAAAGTAGCTGGGGAACATTTTTCATATGAAAAATTTTGTTTGTTTTGAAGGTGAAACCAATTCAATTGTTGTAGGAGGAAGATGGGCGAGAAAAAGAGATATTTAGACTGCGGAGAAAGCCAATAGCAGAAACCAGTGCTAGAATGTCACTGAATTTCAACATTGAAAGTTCGTCTTCTGTGTAATATTACGTCTTGCGCAACCTGTGTAAAAATGAAAGATGCTTAAGAAGCAAATTCACCACAGCCAAGGGGAGAAAATATCTCTTTAAATTATCACCATCCCTGTTGCCATAAGTTTCTCCCTGCTTCTAATAATCCGTGCTTTAGTGTATCCCCATCCGGGACTCTGAGGAATGTGATGTTCTTGGGAGTCCCTTGTAGCAGCTGGGCTTGCAGGGTGGAGGTTGTTGTTGCCATTGCAGTGTTCTTAGGCTTTGATCTCCAGTACTTACCTGCTCATAGCAGATGGTGAAGACACAAGTGGAGGCCAGTGGGCAAGCTTTGCCCTCTCTGTCCACAATTTGGAGATAGCAACTACCATTGCTTAGGACTTCTTTCTCATGACCACTGTAGTCACATGTTCACATACACGCACAGACCCATGTACACACCCTCCTTCTCTACCAAATTATACTTCTCATTGCCTTCCACATGCAAATGAGAATCCCTGAGCCTGACCCTTTGCACATGCACTGTTCTTCCTTGCTTCCAGTTCCTCATCCTGCATTTTTCTGCTGACTAGTGGGAAATCAAGAAGCTTTTTACCAAGATAGTCCTGGATTGAAATCACAGGTCTGCCACTTCCTGTTTGATTGTAGACAAGTCACTTTCTGTTATTGAGGATCCGTTTTCCCTGTGTGTTTGTTGTTGTTAGGTGCCAGAGAAACTAAACAAAACTTTTGTGAAGATTAAGTGAAAGAAAAAATACAAAGTACACAACAAAATTAGTTTCTTTCGTTGTAGTTGCCCTATTTGATAAACCCCATGTAGTTCCTAAAACTCCAACTTAGCTTGCAACCTCATCATTAGTTGCTGTCTGATGTCTGCTGTCTCCCCAAGTCACTTGTAACTATCTTTAGGGCTGAAGCTGGCTTGTAACACAGAATTCTCACTCTCTGGCATAGCCTTCTTGGATTTACTTGCTTCACGTGGGATAGTGTAGAACGAAAGATGTAAAGCGACTCCCTAAGACTTGCTGAGAAAGGGACTCCTGTGATCAGTGTAGTAAGAGCAAGTGAGTCTGTTATATTTCTAGCACAATAAAGAAAATGGTCTGACAAGTGCTTTCTGAGTTTTTTGGAATAGTATGAGTGGAATCTTAAAGGGAGCCAACAGATCTAGAAAGGGACTTCTTGTGCCTCCATCTTCATAGAGAGAACTTGACTGGGGACAGAAATCTGTTTGAGACAGCATTTTCTATAAAGGACACGCTTTTCAGTATGTATGGGTGTTCTGGTGAAGGGGAAGTTTCACACTTAACCAAGAATGGTCCTCAAATACCAGACAGATGCTTCCCACCGAGCCTACATCTTCAACAGCAGTGCACGTGGAACTTCGGGCGGAAGAGGAAGCCTGTCAGCTAGCAGGAGCCACTGGAATTCATGGTTCACAGTCAAAGGAGCAACCGATGTCATAGCCAGGCCACTTCCCTGTGAGACGCAGGAGTTACCTCAGAGGGCTAGGGCCTTCAGTTCATTGTCAAGCACCGCCGAGGTCATTCTCCCTGTACATGTCAGTGAGTGTCAGAGGGCTAGGATGGCACTCGAGATCGGACATGTTCTGTACAGGTAAATCTGCCACGGCCAGGTTCATTTTCCAAAAGAATAACCAAAAAAGCCCTGGCATACTGCTGTTTTCAACATGGTTTCCTCATTGCTATCACCACCTCCTTTCTTTCCTTGGCGTCTTGTTGTTTATAGTCTCTTGCCCCGTATATCTTTCAGTTAAAGCAGTGGTACAAACCATAATTCATGTCTTTCGGAATTAGCTTCTGCTCCGTCACTCTCCCCCTGAAGGGCCAGCAGGAGGCGATCTCTTTGGTGATAGTGGCATTTTTGCGGTACTGTTTCACAGCCGTGCATTATGAATAGAACAGAGTCTTCGGACTTGGTCTTTGCTGTCACAGCTTCCTCCCCCTCCCCCAGCCCCACCCTCCAACCCTCTTGGTTCTGACATAAGCTTAGCAGGTCAAATTTGAACGTAAGTGCAGAAGTTTGAATCACCGAATAGTCTGACTTTGGTTTCCCCAGGGGAAAAAAAAGGACAGCCATTGTCACCTTTTCATTCTTCGTGATATTTTGGGTCTTTAGCTATGGACTACACCTGAGCGATGTTTCTAATGTGCTGTGTCTGTGTCTCTTGTCATTGAGGTCATTGTTATGAGAAAACCCTGGACAACAGCCATGACAAACAGAAATATTTTGACACCTCCCAGCCCCTGGATGCTGCCGAAGAAGAGCCTTCTGCGGAAGGAGCAGAGGAGGACCCTGTACTTTCTGTTGAGCATTCAGGGAGGGACCCAGATGCCCTTAGAGTTGAAAGTAAGTTGATTTGACCTGAGCTGTGCTTCTGGGGGAAAATCAACTCTTCAGCTTTCGGCTTAGGGGGGTTCTTTACGTTCAAGTGTGCCCTTCCTTCTTTGAAAAGCCCCCCTTGCTATTGAGGGGATCAGTAGGGCGCGCCTCGGAGGCAGAGGCAGAAGATTAGCTCTCCTGTGAATGTGCTCACCAAGCTTCTTGTCCTTCACCGCGGTGTCTTTGCTAGAACACGTGATTCAGTCACAGACCAGCCTCCCTCCCTTCCTAAGGTCAGTAGCCTGTTGGGTGAGTCATGGGAAAAACAGAAGACTTGCTACTCCCCATCTTCCTCTGTTGTTGTTTCCCCGGTGACTTAGTGAGATCTGGAGAGTTGCCCTCTCCTAAGACTCCACCTCGTGAGCACACTTCAGGCTCTCCTCTGCTGAACAGCTCTGTGAACGTTACCAATCCATTCATATCGCCAAACCCACTAACTTCTTTTTAGCACTCATCCCACTTACCCACTGTCTGGCACCCCTCCCCCACCCCAGCCCCGCACTACTGGAAACCCTCTCCTGCTTCGTGGCTCCTAGGGTATCTCTCTCGCTTGTGGCTCTCTTCCTATCCTCTGACTGTCTTGTCATTTTTTTCCCTCACTGCTTCTTTCTTCTGCCACGTATTTGTTGGGTTCCCCGAGACCCTACCCTTGAAGGGTTTTAGCGACCTTTCAGTCCATTGATGACCCCAAATCTGTATTTTCAGCTAAGACATCAATCCTCTGTGACTCCAGACCATATTTCCATTTATCTAGTGTACTCCTCATGCAAGATCGGCAGTTTGAAACCATGGCAGAAAGACAGGACCGATAGGGTCTCCATGAGTATGGGCTTGATGGCAGTAAGGGGGGTTAGTAGTCTACTCCTGACCCACAGGTATGTAGCAGAGCCCAAACTGAACTTACTCTCACTTTCACTATTGCTTCTAATAGGAATAACCCTGCTGTTGACTACTGGTATTACAATTCACCCAGGCAAACAGTCCCTAAGACCCACTGAATCGGTCATCTCTTTCTCTATTCTCACTGCTGTGGCCAGAATCTAGACTTTCTTCGCTTCTACTGGGACTATTACAATATTCTCTTCATTAGATTTCCCACATCTAGTCTTTTACTCCAGGCCAGGTATGGAGAGAGATTAAAAGAGAGTAGGTGAGAGGAGAGGAGAAAGAAACTAAGATAATTCATATAATTTGTACAAAATTTCCAAAAGAAGAAGCAGGTGCTATTACCAGAATTAACCACTGCCCAATTCTTGTGTGTCCTTCAAAGAGCAGTTTCTTGGCTGCAGGTCCCTTCAGGTAAGTCACTGAGTTTAAATCTTCTGATGGTTTCCTATCGCTCAGAGGGAAAATCCAAATGTCTCAAAATGCTGCGTGAGGAGTTTTCACCCCAGGGGCCTGCTCCAACCCCCGCTCCTAGAAGGTGGCATCACTAGTCTCCTACGTAAAGAACCTGTGGCACAGTGGTTCCTCTTTGGCTGCCAAGCCAAAGCTTGTCAGTGTGAACCTTCCAGCTACCCCGAGGGAGAAAAGCCCTCTAGAGCTGCTCCCACCAAGATCACAGCTGTAGAAACCTTACAGGGACAGTTCTACTCTGTCATCACATAAGGTCCCCTAACAGCAGGAACTGCCAACCTTTCGCTCTTCGCCCATGCCATGCTCTTCACTTTACAAAGGTAACTACTCCCCTTTAGCCAGGTGACCACTCAGCTCTGGGACCCTGAAAACTCTCTCCAGGTGCGTCTCATCCAATATGATTTGTGTGCTTGTCTTGTCTCCCATCATACTGTGGGCTTAGTTTCCTTTATATTGCTTGTGTGCAGTGAGTACTTGTTATCATAAAGAAATGTGGCTTTGACCTTGCCCCGTAGGTTTGGTTTACATGTCTGGCTATCCCAGAGTTGTGTGTTTCCTTCTAAGTGGTGTTGTCTTTAAAAAGTTTTAAGAACAAGTTCCACTGAAGGAGGAAACCCCGACCAGCATACCTTCTCAGCTCCCAAAGACTACTTGAGCCGGCTCTATCAGAAATGACTGCTTTAAAGACATGAATTCCCAGTAGCGAGCTCGAAGGAGATTGATTTATACACTAGATTACCAGTTTGTTCATTCACAGTGCGGACTGCCCCTCTGTGGTGCTTGCCAGACTCATGTCTCTTCCTTCTAGAGGCAAGCGGGGTGTTCAGACCACCACGTGAACCGCCCTAGGATTGCGGCCTCTGCCCCCCAAACTGGGCAGCATACTGGTTCGGAATGAAACCCAGCCCAAAGCAGGTTCTTTGTCCCTCATTTTTTCAACTGCATCCTGACTTTGAGCAAGGTTTCTTCACTCAGCTTTCATCCTGGAACTGCAAGATGGCTTCCCTGCCCGCGGTTCGTTCTTTCCCAGGTTCCTGCAACATCATACAAGCTCCCTCTGAGGGAAATTCCCTGCTAGACCCAGATGGCGAATTTAACCTGCCACATGATGACGACTCTGACAAGATTTGTTCTCAGGTAGTGGCTTTTCCGGAGCATATTTCTAACTGCCAGGAGTGACCTGTTGGTCTCCAGAAACTGACAGCAAGTCATGGGGCTGGCAGACATGTTCATACCTGTAGCGTGTGATTGGATAACCAGCAGGCTATACAAGTCAGAAACCTCTTCTTTTAAATACAAATAGTATGCTATAACAAAAGCCCCCCCAAAATGTTTTAAACCAAACAAAAAAAGCCAAGCTACACAAGGAGTTTGCAAAAGCCATATTTGGGGAGGAAATTTCAGAAAAATTCAGTCATTGAGTTCTCTCCAGTAGTCGCGAACAATGATTATGATCATTACCTTTTCATGGTAGTTAATAATTTATGAAATACTAGGTGCCGTGTATTAACTATGTGAGGGAGACAGCACCCAGCCTAGTGGCTTGCCTATAATCTTCAGTATGTGGCTGAACTAAAACTCACCTTCAGCATCCTTTACCCCTGGGGTGCACAGAAATGGGGGCTGGATGGACTAGACCTGTTTTTCCCCCTTCGTTTTCTTGGTAAGGTCATTTTAAAAGAAAACTAGCACCGGCTATTACCATTGCTTTCTAAAACAGTAAACGTTACTGTCAAAAGTGTGTGCGCACAGTCTCAGGATCAAAGCCAGGCTTCCTCCGTTCCAAGCAGTTGGCATTGCCAGGATCTGTTTCCGGGTTGTTCTGTCACCAGTGTCCAGATCCCAGTGGCCCCCAGGCATAGGAAGAGGACGCATGTCACTGCGTTGTATTGTATGCGTTGAGATGGCCTGGTTTTGCTACATAGTCACCCACCCCACCAAAGTAAATAATCAGTGGAATAAAAACATGGAAGCAAGCAGAAAGTACTAAGTAAATAATGCAAAAGAAAGCAGAGGGCAACCTCACCCTAACAAATGAACCTCTAAGTGGCTGTGAGTGAGTGTATTTGTTTTTACAGCGTTATAAATCTGTCCTTGGGGTTCTCATTTGGCCATGGATTGGTGAAGATTTGTCACTGAAGAACCATTGCCTTAATACGACTTCATCCAATCAAGAATTCCTCTCCGGAAACGTCTCCCATTGGGCTTTGTAGCCAGATACTCCCACTTCTTGGCCCCACCACCACCTATAAGTTGTTCAGCTTGGGCTAGTTACTTCATTTTACTGAGTCTTCTTAACTTCATTTATTGAGAAGTAAACAAAGAGCTTCATTGGATGGCTTGATTATTTAAATACGGTAATGTAGAATGTCTTTTAGCTCTGGTTAGTCAGGCAGCGGGAGCTCAGTAAATGCTCACTACTACCAACAGTGACATGGCTGCTGCTTCAGGACCTGCAGGCCATTGGTGATCAGAAGTCCTCACACAGGTGCATGGGGTATGCTCACTAAACACTGCATAAGTTACCTGGATAAGGGTTATTGAAGGAAAGATTCTGTTTGCTTTTCCCATCTACTCAGAGGTCTTTGTTTCTTTGTGTACCATTCATGCAGCTGAACCAGAGGAGGTGGAGGAGGAGCGGGTGCAAACCGAAGCTCTTGATTATTGACTAGTGCCTGAATGCATGTTGCATCACTGCTTTAGTAACTTGCTGGCCTTTGAATTTCAGGTACAGTGGTTGAGGAAAGCAATGGCTCTGATGAGATGGAGAATTCAGATGAAACCAAGATGTCAGAAGAGATACTGGCTTTAGTGGATGAATTTCAACAGGCCTGGCCCCTGGACGGCTTTGGGGGTGCGCTTGAGATGAAAGGGCGGCGCCTTGACTTACAGGGAATACGGGTACTGAAGAAAGGTCCCCAGGATGGAGTAGCCAAGAGCTCTTGCTATGGAGACTGCAGAAGTGAAGATGATGAAGCAACAGAATGGGTAAGAGTTTGCTAACTTCTGTATTGACCACATTCTGTGTAGACCAGGCTTTGAAACCCTCCTAGTTTTTATAGCAGGAAGTTTCCATTGGGAGGGTGGCAGTCCTTTACCCATATTCCAGTCCAGCCTTCACAAGAAACACATTGCATGTAGCACTTCATAGTAATCGGTGTTGCTAGCTTCTCTAGGAGGAGGGAGGAAGTGGATGGATATGAAGCCACACTCAAGGCACGGTGGCTTTTTGACTTTTCGTTTCTTCGCTACACGTTTACTGTGATTCCTTGTTGCTGGGTCAAGTTCAACTCATAACAAGCCCATGTCACAGAGTAGAAGGAGCCCACAGGGCTTGGTGGCTGCTGTCTTTACTGAGACAGATGCCAGATCTCTCTCTGTGGAGCCTCTGGGTGGGTTCAAACCTCCAACCTTTGAGTTAGCAGCCAAGTGCTTATCCATTTCGCCACCACACTCCCTCCAGAGATTAGGTTATTTTGTTTATCTCCCTGAAGGTTTTTCATGTAGCCTGAGAGGAATGAACCTGAAGGAGATAACTTAACTCTTGCAGCCAGCCACTATTTATTGTCAAGTTGCTTCTGACTCAGAGCACTCTTATATAGGGTTTCCGAGGCTGTGAATCTTTACAAAAGGAGACAGCCTTATGTTTCTCCTACTGAGCGGCTGGTGGGGTTGAACTGCTGACCTTGTAGTCAGCAGTCCACTGACCTGGTTTATTCTGAGAGCCAGTGATACTTATAGCCAGTGAAAGATTTGATCATTGATCTCACTTGTTCCCAACATATTTCCCATTCCCAGATTACATTCCAAGTGAAACGAGTAAAGAAACCCAAAGGAGACCCTAAGAAAACTCCTGGGGAAAAAATGGAATCAAACCAAGCAGAAAGTCCACAGCGTTACCAATCAAACTTGGAGATCACCGGCCCCCAGGTGGCGTCTCCTGGGCCGCAAGGTAAGCGTGCCCACCTCATAGGCCATCCGCCTCCTTAGATTTCAGTGCCTCGCTTCTCACAAAGGACGTGCTTATGACTTAGAAAATTTCAGGTGAAGGGCAAGGGCAGAGTAAATAAGAAAACAGTCATTGGTATGCATGTTTTATTTGGGCATTTATTAAATATTTTACTTGGTTGGGTTTTTTGTTTGGTTGGTTGCTTTTTTACTATTTGCTATTTGACTGGCTATTTCTTCTTACCATCAAGAGTTGGAGTAACCTGTTTGTGTTCGTCAGCAGACAGCTCAGTGTAATAGAACAAAAAGTGAGTTTGCGCAGAGTGCCTGGGTCCCAGCACCAGTTCTGCCATTTTCCTCCCCATGCCTTACTAGCCTTATCTGTAGAACGGGGCTGCTGCAGGCATCTACATCATAGAGCGCGTGTATCCCGGGAAGGTACTATAGGCCGCAGTAAGCTATTGGCCTCTTGCTGTCGAGTTGCTTCTGACTCGTGGGAACCTTTTGTCAGAAGAGAGCTTGCTCCAGAGGGTTTTCTTTTCTAAAGCAGACTACCAGCCCTTTCTTCCCAGAGCCAGCTAAGCAGGCTTGAACTTTTAGCATTTCGATTACCAGCCACGAATGTTAGCCCTTTGCACCACCTGGGGGCCCTCAATAAGGTCTTAGCCTGTGTCAGTCATGTGATGTTTGTCACATGTCTTTGTAAGCATTGGAGAAATGTTTTAGAACTCCTCCCCAGAAAAAAATAGAAACACAACAATGTTTGTATTAACTGGAATTTCGAGGACTCATGGTTGGATCAAAGCCAAGCTGGACTCCAGGTTAAGAGCCACCGCTGTGAATCCAGGTGACTCTCTTTTCTAGTTTAGTGGCAGTGATAGACTTCCTTGTAACAGTGATGACCTTGTTTTTTAGGGCAGAGTGGATAGATAGATAGATGCACTATAGTTATAGATACATAAGTGTATGTATATATGTGTATATTTTTCTTTTTCTTTGTCACTATCTTAGAATTTGAAAATTCAAGGTAGCTTCATTAGGTGTGCCCTGTTTGCTTTGGTGTGTGTTTATACCAAAACAAAAAAGCAAAGGGCCCAAAAGTATAAACAGAGAAGAATCAGATTGGCCAAACCCTAGAATGTACTTGGGAAAAACTACTTCGGACCCCAACTAGGGCATCACGGATGTCTGTCATGTGTGCAGTGAAAGGCCTGACTCAGCTGCTCTGCTGCTTAGGAAGCTGGCGCATGCTCACAGGTTGCAGAAGGAAAGCAACATTTCCTCCATTCGGTCTGTCTTTTGGACCATTTTACTTACTAAAGTAGTAAATGACAATTCCAGTGGGTCCAGTATAACAAAATAATTAGAAAAACTTCAAATGATTGTTTATATACTCTTGAGTTGGAGAAAGGAACCCTAGTGGTGCAGGGGTTAAAACATTCCACTACTAATCAAGTGGTTGACAGTTCAAACCAGCAGCCTCGAGGAAAAAAGACATGACAGTCTGCTTCTGTAAAGATTCCAGCCTCGGAAACCCTGTGGGGCAGATTGTCCTCTGCCCCGTGTGGTCTCTATGAGTCACAGTCGGCTTGATGGTAAAGGGTTCCATTTCAGGTGGAAAAGGACTTTCTAGAACTGGAAAGAGAGAGAGAGAGAGATCGATAGGTTTAACCACACATTCGTACACAAACGTCGCACGCACACACACACACATTCTTTTCTGATTTTTTTTTGTAAGCAAAGAGTGCCAGTTACCTTATTGCAAGAGCACCTGTATGAAGAGACACCTTGCAACAGCAATGTGTAAAGCACATAGACATTTCACTGTATGTGCACACACAGAAATGGCCAGACCGTTTCTGAGAAACTGTTCAACCTCAACAGCCAACAAAGAAGTAAAAATTAAAAATGAGATACCATTTTTGCTATCAAATTAACTCTTAAAGTATAATAAGTTAATAAATTAATTTATGGTATAGTTTGAATAGGTATCTCGGAAACATTTAAAATATACCAATAGTTCTACCTCCGGTATTTTATCACAAGTAAATTCTTTTATAAGTACCAAAGATGTAAGTGAAAAGATGTTCACCACAGGGTTGTTTATCATGGTAAACATTTGCAAAGAGCCTCAAGGGGGAATTTCCTAATGAACGTATTAGAGCGTCCTGTGTAGTATACTAGTATCCAAGAGGCTTGCGATGCCTTAAATGAACACAAGCTTTTCACAAAATAGACTTATAAAGAATGTCAGTTTTTTGTAAAATAGCAAATAAATCTTTTCATCAACTGCCCTTTTTTTTTTCCATATTTCAGCATCTCTGAAATTGGATTACATCTTATACTCAGTGATAGCTTAACATCATTTTTTTTCTTTCTTAAATCGTGTAAGCTGACAGACACCATACAGTTGATGACGTCTCAGACTTAAGGAAGCAAGTGTCCAGAAACAAACCTGCAAAGAAACGCCTCAAGGCCTTTCCCGTGGTCTTCTCGGGTGTCAGCAGAGTTAGACGTGACTTTCGTTTTCTTCGGTGCACGTTCTCTGTTTTGAAGCAGTTTTTATTGGGTCACATTACTTTTATAAACAGAACATAAGTGTCCTACGGACGTGAGAGTGAAAACTCAATAGAACTGAGATGGTATGAGAGCCCTTAACCAACTTTAAACGATCAAGTTCATGCGCCCAGTATGGCACTGAAGATACTTGCAACTGAGGTCGTCTTTAGACTGAAAAATTCCGAAACAAGGTAGAGGAATGAAAATACCAGAGAAGTTCAAGATTCCCGTTTTCATAGGAGCATGGCTTCTCTCAGCTACCAACTGATGACGCTTTTTACTATAAAACTTGGCATAGTTCTCTAGCCAGGGAGTTTGTGAGTCCTTGTGGGGTTGGGGGAGTGGCGATCATTAAGAGCCATTGTAGATTTACTAAGGCCTAATAGAACTAATAATGCTTAACTAATTTCATTTCCTTTTTTGGTTAGGGCTACTAGACTGGAAGACCAGGGAAGTGCCATAGACATAATGTAACTGGATTTCAGCAAGGCATTTAACAGAGCCTCTATGATATCCTTGTGAACAAGATGGAGAGATGTGGGATCGAAGGCTCCCCATTGCCTACAGGATAAAGTCCAAGCCTCCTAGTGTGGCGTACAAGACCCTTTACAAACCGGCCTCTATCGACCGTTCAGCGCCATTCTCTGAACCAGCCATGCTCTTATTTTACCTCCATCCTTTTGCACATACTGTTTCTTCTGCCTGGAAAGCCCTTATGCCACTTCTGTTGGTGCTAAAATCTCACTCATCCTTAAAGTTCCAACTCAGGTGCCATCTCTTCCTTGGTACCTCCAGGCAGAACTAGTTGCTCTCTCCTCTGTGCAATTGTTCTCTACTTTCACTTCAGTACTTATCCTGTTGTATGATAATGATTTGTTGATGTTCACCTCCCTCACTAGACTGTGAGCTCGAGAGCAGGCCCTCGTAATATTCCTCTCTGTATCTAGTGCCTTCTGTAGTTCCCAGCCCCTTTATAATAGGTGCTCAATAAATGTTTCTCAAATGGATTTCTTAAATATAAAAGGAAAACGAACTTGATTGTGAAAGTGATGGTTTATTTCCCTCAGGGATTCATATCAACAGGGTTAGTTTGAAGTTCTTCCAAACTGGTCTTGTCTGCTTTATTACAATCTAAACCCGCACCCTGCCTGTACTTCCAACAGTTTTCTGTTGGTGAATTTCAGCAATGTGAAAACTGCTGTGCAGAGTGAAACATCTCCTGGCTGAGATGCTATTGGAATTCCTTAATGAAGATTCCTGGAGGGAGTGCTTCTCTTTCCAGGGGAGTGGGGAGGGATCTGGGCTAGGGAGAGGGCTGTGACCCAACAGATAGTGCCTGTGAAGAAGATCAATAAACAGTGTTGAAAGCCCTACCCAGTTTTAAATAGTCTGGCGATGGGGAGCACGTCCCTTAGACATAAACTCTCGAGTATGACCTTGGGCAAGTCACTGCATGCCTCAGTTTCCTCCGTTTGCTCATCTGAGAAAGAAGGATTAGAACCTCCTTCGTGAGGTAGTGGACAGAAAGCACTTAGCACAGCACCTGACACACAGTGTTCACAACCTACAAGAGGGAGAAGGGGGTGTGGGTGGGGCAAGGCAAGCTGTTGAAAGATTTGATACGTTGTTGAATCAAAGAAAGATGACCTTGTATGTAAACTCCCATCTAATTCACAATAAAAGGATTCTTTTGTTTTTTTCTTAAAGAGTGCATATAAATGATAACCTTTTACTCTCCATATCCTTTCCCAACTTGTTGCCTTTCTTTAGAGCAGTGGAGCTCATTAGGCTGATTTATTTCACCCCCGGGGGGACATTTGGCACATCTGGGGGAGGGTTGTAGACATCTAGTGGGTGGAAGTGAAGGATGCCGCTACACGGCCGCGGGTACGTAGGACAAAGCCCCCCACCAAGGAATCCGTAGTGTCCAGTTGACCTGCTTTCACCAATAGCTGCGCTTCCAAGAGTTCATGGAAAAGTCCCATGATCTTCTCATTCCAGTTTTCCCACAAACCTTTTGAAGCCCGCCCTCACATAGGTTTCTGCTGACTTAAGTTACAGTTGCCTTTATACAACTAACAGAGGGGTGTAAAAATTCACTCTGGTGAGAATGCCTAACATGGAAGGTTGTCTTCACCTTTATGTTGATAAGTGACATGAAGGACTGACATGCAAAGGAAGAATCACTTAGCTTTACTTCATCAGTCTGGTGAGCATGGGCTTCACTCAAAGACGATCCTAACAGAGTGACAAAGTGTTGGTGCTAGCTATAGATGGTGGAGATTCTAAAGTCAAGAAGAATGGCCGGGACCCTCCAATTGCACCGAATGGGCTGAAATAATGCCAGGGCACAAGGCGCTTTAGGTTCTGTCCCTTTGCCGTTGAGTTGATTCATGACTTTTCTTCCTTCCAGGAAAGAAACGGGATTACCAGAGTCTGGGATGGCCCAGCCCGGACGAGTGCCTCAAGCTCCGCTGGGTAGAGCTGACGGCCATCGTCAGTACCTGGCTTGCAGTTTCTTCAAAAAACATTGAGTGAGTATCTCGCACCTCTCCCTCCTTTGTGCCATTTTGAGTCTCATCTTGGAGCTCACTGGCTCTCTGCTACCTCCAGGGATACTCTATATTGTCAGCAATTATTAGGAGAGTCATCCTTCCCAGGGCTGATGGTTCAGAGGATGGCCAATGCTGGCCACAGTCCACTGTTGGACTCAGCGCATAGTACTAAAGCAGAGATGGTACCCCTTTTTCAGTGCCTTCAACCATACCTTGTAAGCTATCCAGAAAGTCATGTGCAGGGCACCTCTTAGTGTGAACGAAAGACCAGAGCCACACAAACCTGTGGGCTCTGACTGACCTCATGCACTTGAAAGGGGGTGCTAGAGCAAACCCTGATGTTGAAACACCGCCCAAGACACACATTGAGGCAACTTTCTGACAACTAACTGCTTGTAGCCACTCCTCTTTTGTTTGACCCATTTATTCTTCTTGAAGAGCCTGTTGGCGTAGTGGTTATATATTGGGCTGCTAACTGCAAGGTTGGTGGTTCAAAACTACCATCCACTCACTAGGAGAAAGTTGAGGCTGCCTGCTGCCATAAAGATTTGCAAAGCTATCAAAGCTCTGTATATGAGTCAAAATCAACTGAATGGCAATGGGTTTTTCATTTCTCTACTCTTCCGCCATTAGCCTTCCCCAGGATTACCACTAAGCCTTATTATTTAGTAATCCTTCTTAGATTCATCGGCTCCCAGGACTTCAGTCATCATTGATAGAGGCAAAGCCCTCGACCCATTTGTACAACTGTCTGCCTGACCTCTTTGCCTGGATGTCTCAGGCACACCAGTTCATTAAAATTAAACTCATCATTTTCTTGGCTATTCTCCTATCAGAAAACCTGCCTGTTTGTTTCTGCCTTCCTAGCATAAGGTGTCATCAGTGGTCAAGTCCGAAACCTAGGGATCGTCCTTAGACACCTCTCTTCATTCTTCCACACAACTCAGAATGCTTCCTCAAACAGAAATCAAATTGTACTTAAGTCTCTCTTACAACTTCTCCCTGCTCCTTGAAGTGGTCCACGCAACCCTTCGTGATCTGCTCCCTGCCTGTCTTTCCACCTTCAGTCTTCACTCTTGTCCTTCAGGGCCGTCACACATGGCATCTCCTTTGCCCAAAGTTGTATTCTCACCACCTGTAGTCCACTGATCCAGACTCCTGCTTCCAGTCGCCACTGAAGTTTTCACTTCCTCAAAGAATCGTTCATTAGCACCCCTTCTTGATCAGTGCGGAGGAAATGCAAAGAGGCTTTAGAAAGTGTGTGGGAAACTTCCCTTATCTTTCCTTCATTTTTTTCCTGTGAGCTTTTTGAAGCCTCCTCGTATATCCCCTCCTGTAGTGTGCTGTCACTGTATCAGGCAGGTTTGTGTTTTCCAGAACTTAGCGCAACTGTAATTGAGTTACTCTTAAAGATCATGCATTTTATAATAGCAAGGACTAGGATGTTTTCTTATTATAGTACTGGATCTGACATTTAGTAGACTCTCAGTAAATACTGAATGAATTAATTAGTATTTCCCTAACATACGTTAAACTTTTAAAATAGCTGGATGTAATCTTTTAGAATGCAAATCGACCATCTCAATACTTTTGATAGTCTCTAACATTTAGCCCCACGCACAGTAGGTTTCTAATCAGAAGGTTGGTGGTTCAAATGCACCAGCTGCTCCACAAGAAAAGGATGTGGCAGTCTGCTTCCATAAAGACTGAGAGCTTTGGAAAGCCTATGGAGCAGTGCTTATGGAGTCGCATCGAGTTGGAATCCACTTGACAGCAACGGATTTGGTTTTGAGCAATAGGGAAATGACCCAGTGGAGCGAAGAAAGGGATCCCTTGAATGTTAGACATAGACACAATGCAAGCAGAGCCATAACTATATCAACTTTACTGGCTAAGGCCTGGACAACTCTCCTGTGTGAAAAAGTAGGTTTCTATACACAAAGGGAAGAAACCATGTGTGAGTTTCACTTTATCACCCTGTACACCCTGGAGAAGTTCAAAAGAAAATACACCCGGGTGAAAACCTCCCTCCTAAGAAAGGGTAGTCACACTATGAGTCGATCAGATGCTACACTGGGTATACATAATCATAGTCCAAATCTAAGAACAATTAGTTCTTATAACATGGCCCCCCTCATGAAGAGATTACTGAAGATATGAGTGCTATAGCAAAGTGTGATGAAGAAAGCAGATAGTGTTGGCTGTCAGAAGGAATGTTGTCTGGTCTGGGGTCTTAAAGGCTTGTCTTAAAACAAGAAGCCATCTTAGTGAGGTATCAGCTAAATCCACACATAGAAGCACACTAGCCTGTGTGATCTAAAGATTCTAAATAATAAAATCCAAGACCAGAAGAGAATAATTTTAGAGCTTAAATTCTGAGCCCCATTTTGCAGAAGGCTATGAATGACAGTGAAAGCCCCAAATCCATGCAAGGCCTCCACATGGATTGTCTCTGTTGAATTCCCTCTCACCATTTGAAAAGCCTTGCTATCAGATAGAGTGCATTGGAAAGTGGATTGATGTAAATATAGTTAGGTTAAAATGTAATACCTTTTCTCTCTTTTCACCTATTTTAAATTTGTCCTTTTAAAAGAAATTCTGCTTTCCTTTAGATTCAGGTTTTTCTGTGCCTTATTTTGTTGGATTCAGGGGTTGTATATTTTTCTGTATATGAGATTCAGGGTAAATGAGTCTAGAGACAGTAACTGGATTGATAATTTCTTTAGAGTTATAGCAAGAAAAGTGGGCAAGAAACAGGGGGCTAATAATAGTACAGAAACTTGAGTGGAGGAGGAGGCAGGGGAAGGGAGCGGTGAGCAAGCAATGCCATAGGCAGGGGAACAACTAGGGAATCAAAATCAACAATGAGGAGGCCACAGAGATCCTGGGGTGTTAGAGCAACAGCAATCTAGCTGAGGAATTACTAAGAGGTGAAAGAAGGTCAAGTGTGTTGGTGGGGTAGGGGGAAGGAAACAGGAAAGCTATGGATAGAGATGTAAGCATAGGTGTGTACATATGTAAATTTATTAATTCATTAAAAAATAGAGGTATTAACCTATGTATATATATTTATATGACAATACACAGGTAGTGGATGGGCTTTGGGCCTCTGCTCAAACCCTCCCTCCACACAAGAACATTTTGTTCTAACAACCTGACATTCTGTGATGTTCACCCTCCCGATACAATCGCTGAAGACAAAGTGGGTGACTAAGAAAATGTGGTGAAGAAAGCTGATGATGCCCGGCTCTCAAAAGATATAGCGTCTGGGGTCTTAAAGGCTTGAAGTTAAACAAGTGGCCATCTAATAGAGAAGCAACAAGCCCACCAACTCTTCTCTGGTTCCTTGAGGCTTCTTCACCCCCCCATTATCATGACCCCAGGCCTGGCTTTCACTGCGGCCTAGATCAGAGGATGTGCACTGATACAAATAAGAGATAGGAGTTCATGACACATGGAATCCAAGAACAGGAGTGGGAGTAGCAATACCAGGATGGTAGGGGGAAGGAGGGCAGGAAGGGAGAACAGATTGCAATGATTGACACATAACCACACCTTCCCCCACTCCCCAGGGTGACAAACAACAGAAACCGTGGGGGAAGGGAGACAGTGGTCAGTGTAAGATATGAAAAAAATAATAACATAATTTATCAAGGGGTCACGAGAGTGTGGGAGGGGGAGAGGCGCTGATAACAAGGGCTCAATAGAAAGTAAGTGTTTAGAAAATAATGATGGCAACATATGTACAAATATGTTTGATAGAATTGGTGTATGGATTGTTATAAAAGCCCCCGATAAAATTATCTTTTAATAAAAGATTTTTTTTAAGAATGAAGAAATATTCTAAAATTGATTGTGGTGATGATTGTACAACTCTTTTTACTGTGTTTAAGCCATTAAGTTGCATGGTTTGTGAATTTTATGTCATTAAAACTTTTTAAAAATAAAAATTTCAAAAGAATTTTCCCTCCTCAAAAAAAAAAAAAAAAGGAAAGAAAGACAAGAGGTAGTTTGAGGCTGGGAAAAGTTGAGGAATCATGCTGACATTGTTGCTTTGACCTAGGCTGCAGTCAACCTATCCATTGACCGACAATTGTTGCCATGCCCTAGCGCATTGCTTCTCAGCCTTCCCCATGCCGTAACCCTTTCACACAGCTCCTCATGTGGTGGTGACCCCCAATCATACAATGCTTTTTGTTGCTACTGTTATGAATCGGGCGACCCCTATGAAAGGGTTGTTCAACCCCCAAAGGGGTTGTGACCCACAGATTGAGAACCGCTGCACTAATCTCTACAAGGGAGATAGAATAACTCCTAACACCTTCTCCAGCCACAGATTCCATGTTTCCAGACACCTCTGATGGCATGTTGAATTATCAGCTCTTTCTTCCTTCCCACTCGAATTTTCATTGTTCGTATGATAATCTCTTTTCCAGCATCACAGAGCACATAGACTTTGCCACCCCAATACAGCAGCCAGCCATGGAGCCTCTCTGTAATGGCAATCTTCCCACCAGCATGCACACCCTGGACCACCTGCATGGGGTTTCCACCCGAGCCAGCCTGCACTACACGGGGGAGAGTCAGCTAACAGAGGTGAGTGCTCACCTGCCTGTGCCTGTCAGCCTCCCAGCCGGGACGCAGCTGCTCCCAGAAAGCTCAGTGGCTTGTCTTCTTGCCCTCCTTTCAGTCCCCCGTGTCGTCTAGACCTTGCCTGTTTCCCCACCCCACCCCACCCCCGTCTAATCTGTTGTCTTCCTCTGTGTTTCAGGTCTTACAGAATCTTGGCAAAGACCAATATCCACAACAATCACTTGAACAAATTGGCACCCGAATTGCCAAAGTTTTGGAAAAGGTAGGTCACCCTTCAGGCAGCCTTGCCTACTCTCTTTGCCAAGTTTTCTGCCACTGTGAGGCGCTCGCGTGTTGGTTAATTAGCACTTAAGTGAGCCTCTTGCAGAATGTCTTATTCACGTTTCCATTTCTTTTTCCAACATGGCTAATATTCTGGGCTTTTGGTTTTGTTTTCCTTTGATGCCTTACTCCAGCATGAGTGTATAGAGTGGTGGCGTGGGAAGCTAGGAAATAGGCCAGGCTCTTCCTCTGCAGAGGAAGTATATTTGACATTTTGGATAGTGGATGGGAAACACACCTCGAAATACCGTTTCTCTTTGAGATCATGAAGTAAAATCTCTGAAAACCTTCATTTTCATTGAAAAAATTTTTTTCCTGATATTTGTAGAAGGAGTGAATTTTAAAATTTCACATTTTTTTAGTGAGTTTTCATTGTGAATTCAATAGAGGGTTTATATTTCATTGTGAATTCAATAGAGGGTTTATATTCCAGACCATTCCTTCTGCATTCAGTGGTTCAAACCAGTCATTCCCCACACCTGGTATTCTAGCTCACATTATTTACTTATTTTATAGTAAAAGATTTTCCACTCAAATTGTTATCAAATACAGGGAAAATAATAGAACATTGTGATTAAGAGTGACCACTCAGCTGTCACATGAGCCTCACAGTGTGAGATAGCCATTTCCTTCTGCATACCACACAGGGGAACGCTACCAGCAATGCTCATTGTAGTTGCACTGACTATAATTCATGTTCCACAATTTACCTCTGGGTTCTAATATCCATTGCAGTGGCTATGCAGAACTTAGAGGCAAAATTCATGATTAAGGGATCTATTAAGGCAGTTAAACCAAGTTGTAATGCCAGTGAGAAATGCTCAGGGTTGAGTTGTTTATCAGCACCCGTTACAAAGTTCTGTCAAGTCTACCAATAAATGCCTAAGAGGGCATACCACTTAACTGTAAGCATCAGTCCAAAGACACTCAGCTCCTCTTCCATGGATCAGCAAGTCCAGTGTGCCCAATTAAGTGTCCAGAGGCACCCTACTCTATAGACCATCCCCTTTCACATCCCCTGCCCCTTGGTCGGGCTCCTGGTTCTGCTGCTGCTCCTTTCGTGTTGCAACTGTTGTCGGGATCTAGGGGTTCACTACACAGAAGTCTCAAGTCCAGAGGATATGCTCCACTTCTGTCTCTTCCTGGTAACGAGCCCTCCTCCTGCTGCTCAGAGGGCTGTTTGACACACAGCAGGATGCCCCTCCAGGGACTCCTGTTCGAAATTACTCACAGGTGAATCCTGTCCATATCTTCCCCCACCTTCTTACCTGACCCATGCAGGAAAAGTCATTTGGATATGGTGGGAATTAGAGGCTTTTACTAGCAGAGCCATATTAAATAATTGACTGCCCCAGCAGTAATGAAACTAAGAACAGATGTAACCCTCAGACAGACACACACACACACACACACACGTTGCCAGAAGCAGCTGAGTTGATCCAAAAGCCACACCAGATGAGTGTAGCAGAACGTGAGATGGGTTAGCAATTTCAGAGAACGTCAGCAAAAATGTGTTCCTGAATGAACTTCCTACATACTTCCCAACCAGAGAAATCCATTGGAATTCGAGAAATAAAAACAGAAGAGCCAATATTAATGCAAGAAAAAGGCAAGAATGAGCTACTAAACTTAGCAAAGACCATGGGGGAGGGGAGCATGGTGTGTGTGTGTGTGTGTAGATGTAGTAGTCATAAAACAAATGATAATTCAGACTAAATTGTGTACCATGAATCAAATTGTACAATTGCCTCCATACATGAAGATCACTGAGCTAAAATACAAAACCGTGAGGGAGAGGTTAGCAAAAAATTTTTTCAAAAACGAAATGGAAAGCAGGAGGGCCACAGGAAATCAGAAAAATCATCTCAGAAGAGCTGACAAGTTTGGGAGGAGCAACAAGGAGAATGGGCCACAACACATAAAGGAGGGACGGAGAGCAGACATTAGCAATGAGACCAGAATAGAATGGAGAATAGAAGCGACGATGATAAGAAAGAGTCCACTTAAAGGAAGCTGACATAACTATATTCTTAGAAAAACAGTAAAGCAAGCAGCAATACTGCCATTAGTGAGGTCTATTTCATAATAAAGGGATCTGCAGTCGGCTGACTAATGGGTCCCCAGAAGGTACTTGTGGCTGTGAAAGTTACCTTATATGACAAACGGAAAAAAAATAAAATACTTTGCAGGTGTCATTAGATCAAGGTGCCTGAGATACTTACATTGACTTGGATTATCTGAGTGGGTCTCAGTGCAATTCCATGTATCTGGCAGAGGGAAACTGGATAGAGACAGAATGAAGACAGTGTGACCACCTCGATGGAGACGGGCAGTACCGCCAGCACAGCCAGGACATGACAGAAACCACAGAGCTGAAGAGACAGCCAGAACCTCCTCGGACGTGCCTCTGCCACAGGCCTCTTGATTCCAGGCCAGCGATGCTGATTCTGGGCGTCTGGCCTCCAGAACTGTGACACAACCGTCCTGTTGTCTTAAGGCCCCCAAGTTCATGGCCATTTGCTACAAGAGTCATAGGACATGAATTGACATGATCCACAAGCTGTGTGTACTCAGTCACATAACTTTATGTAAAACAAACACTGACAGTTCTGAAAAAATGAAAAGTATGTATCCCAATCCAAGTGTAAGATTTCAAATATGCTTCGTGTTATAATTGATAGAAAAAGTAGGTGAAAGTTAACACATTTATAAAACTGATCCAATGGGCATAGACAGAATACTATATCCAGTAATGACAAAATTCACTTTTTTGAGTGCACAAGGAAATATTATGTTAGCATTCACCATATGACAATCATATGTTCATTTATCATTATGAAACAGGTGTTCAGAAATGGAAATTATTTAGCATATGCTTCTGACCTAAACAGATAAAAAATCAGAAAAATTTCTATACAAAAGTAAATAGCCTCCGTATATACAACAAAAAAGTTAAAAGATAAAATGTAAAAGCAGGAAGGGAGGGAGGGAAGAGGAGATAACACCAAGGGCTCAATAGAAAATAAATGTCTAGAAAATTATGATGACGACATGTACAGATGTGCTTGCTAAAATTGATGTATGGATTCTTACAAGAGCTGTAAGAGCCCTTAATAAAAAATTTTTTAATGTAAAAGCATAAGCCTTCAGCAAAACCCTAACAAAACATCTTCAGCACGTAAATAAAGAAACCACAAAGGGTGTGGAAGTGACTTGAACACCTGTAAAGGCGTATGAGGGGCCTTTAAACTGGCCGTGGAAGAAAATGGAATTCAGGATAATGGAATTTTCCCACAAACTTGTTAAGCCTCCACATGTCATAGTCTTGGATAGGAAGTCTCAGTATCACAAGAATGATAGTTTTCCCTAACTTAATTTGTCATTTTAATGTAATAGCAATAAAAATGCCATCATGTTCTCTTTGGTGCCAGACAAGCTAATTGTATGTTCATGTAGAATAACAAACAAAGAATAACCAGGCAGCTTGTGAGAGAGAAGAGCAGTGGGAAAGGGGAGGAGGAATGTTTAACCTCACAAGATATTGAAGCGTGCAATTAAGGCTTTAATTAAAGCACTTTGTTAATGGTGCATGAATAGACAGGCAAACCAGTGGGAAAGAACAGAAAACCAAGTAGTAATACTAAGTGCATGGAAACATCTGTGTATGGTAAAGTCAGTGTCTCACCCGTAAAAGGAAATTTATCTTCTAATGCTGGATAGGGAAAAAGACAAAACTAGATGTTTCTTCTGTACCCAAGGATAAATTATAATTTATTAAAGATGTAAGTAAATGCTTTTAAAAAATAAATACAAGTACAATCAGAATACATAGGAAATTTCTCTTTTACACCTGGGTTTAGGGGGAATTCTCATTGATTCAAAATTCATATATAATAAGGAAGAGATTAATAAATTGCATAAAAACTTAGAACTTGCCTTTCAGACAAAGTAAAAAGGCAAATTAAAAACTAGGAATAATATTTGAGAATTAAGTTAGAGATAAACCTAGTTTCTAAGAAGCTTCTAAAATTTTTTGTTTTGTTTTGTTTTGTTTTGTTTTAATTACATGATTTATTATCTTCCTTGAATTTCTTGAAACATGATACATTTTATCACACTTACGACTCTTGCCCTAAAATAGTGCTAATATTATAAGAAAACATATTTATTTGATTAGTAGTAAATATGACATATACCCTTTTCAAATATTCATTTAATATTTGTGTTTTACCTATTGTAGATTGATTGTCTCCTTCTTAGCATTTTTTTTTCTTTTTAACATTTTATTAGGGGCTCATACAACTGTTATCCCAATCCATACACACATCAATTGTGTAAAGCGCATTTGTACATCGTTTCTCAAAACATTTTCTTTAAAAGGTCAATAAATCTTTAGAAAATAGTTTCAGTAGAGGAGATTAATGGAAAGGTAGGAAAAAATGGAGAAGTATTTGAGTTGAATCATATATAGGGAAAAGAGAGGAAGATAGGATTTTTTTTTTAAGGTTATAATCTACTACAAATCAGGATGCTAGTAATCCAGGTAGAGAAATCGACAGTCTTTAGAAGTGTGACAGGGGTAGGAAATAAAATTGGAGGCAATAGGAGCCAACATCCTGGTGAGATGGAGTGGGGGAAGGAGCCGAGACCTGAACCTGGAAAATAGCTGGTAAATTTTGTAATGCATTAGCAAATTTTGAAGCTATAAAAGGCAGCAGACTGGTAAGTCACGTTGAAAGCCAGGAAAAACAGCTGTTTTAGATGATCCCACTACAGAGTCCAGGACTAAAATTCAATACCCAGCAGCAGGGGTAAGAGTATCTAACGAGTACCTGAAGCTTTCACTTGGAAGATGTAAAGACTTGTGTTTTTGCTGAAGGACAAACCTGAGGGAAATGGAGCCTTTCAAAAATGGCATAGCAACCTAAGCACAATTGTCGGTTTAAGACAGTTGTCCAAAATTCATTCTACTTGCCAAGCTGAAGAAAAGGCAACCCTTCTCTTTATGCAGATAACATTATCTAGGACCTGTACAATTTTACAGGTATGTCAAGCCTTCAATATAAGATTGTGATACACTTAACTCTTGATACCAAAACTAGGCAAAGACATTACCAGAATAGAAAATTATAGACCAATATCCTTTGTGAACGTTGATGCAAAAATTAGCAACAAAAGTCTAAACAATAGGATCCAATAAAATATAAAGCCATAATAATAGTAATACATCATGACCAAATAGGATTTATATAAGGTATACAAGGATGATTTAACATTAGGAAAATAATAAGTGTGATCCACTATATAAATAAAGCAAAAGAAAAGAACTAAGTAAATATATCAATTGATGCAGAAAAGGCATTTGACAAAATCCAACATCTATTCCTGATGATAAAAAAAAAACTCCCAAAATAGGATTAGCAAGAAAATTCTTCAACATAAGAAAGGGCATATATGCAAAACCAATAACAAACATCTTGCTTAATGAGAATTGAAAGCATTTCACCACTCTTAATAGTACTGCAAGTCTTAGCCATAGCTGTTAGACAACAAAAAGAAATTATAGACATCCAAATTGACAAGTTAAACTTCCCTGTAGATTTTATTCATAGGAAACCTGTTGATAAAAAGACTTGCCAAGAAAATGGTTGGAACTAATTTAAAGTTTCTGCAATGTAGCAGGGTACAAGATCATGCAGAAATTCATCAGAGTTTTGTATACTAAAAAAGAGCTCTTCAAAGGAAATCAAAACAATGTGTGGCAGTTACATAACTTGCAAAGGGTTAGAGTTTAGTCTCAATCTGGAGGCACAAAGGAGATAAATAGCTCACTGTAGGCCAGATACATTCTCACTCCCTGCGAGACATTCCTGTTGACCAGCCACATGGAGGTATGCTGAGAGAGCCAGAACCCTGGAGCTGGAGGAGCCACGTGAAGACCCATGCCAGTGCTCAGATGCTTCCACCACCACCGAATCCACAAGACTTTCCACCCACTGGCCTGTGATCTCCCTGCATTTGGCATGATTGCTTGTTTTGTGAATCTGAAGAGGAATATATAGATTGGTATTGGACATATGCGCTAATATTAGACTTAGGGACTTGATCTGTACTGGATGTTTTCTCAATGTCCAATTGCTCTTGTATATAAAGCTCTTTCTTACACACATATCAGTGTCTATGAATTTGTTTCCCTAGCCAATCCAGACTTAACACATTATGGTACCTTGGGAGTGGGGTACTAGAGAAACAAGTCATAAAGATGGAGAGGCTTGTTCAACCTCCGTCTCGTGGTAGTTTTTCTCCTTTGACTAGCCAGAGGTCAGATATGCCCATGCAGTTTAGTGGGCTGTGTTCTGGAAAGAATATGGAAGTTAAAGTTTTGATTACTTTGTTTGGTTGTTGACTTGGGCTGTTCCTGTTTGAGATGATGAAAATGAATGTTGTTAATGTATATTTTGAGCCCAGGGGTAGAAATAACCCCTTGAATTTTTCAGGAACCATGCTGCTTAGTGGAAATGGCTGACAGACCGGCTGGCCCTGGCTTGAGGCAATACACCCAAAGGCCTGTGCCTGCACTTCATATCAATTGAATAGTTTAGCTAGAGATTAAGATAAGTTAGATAAGGGTTGAACTTGACTGTTTCAAGAATTAAGTTTAGGATCTGATCCTGTTTTGTTTATACTGATTTCTTCTGCTTATTGTTATTGATAGAAACGATTATTGGGAAGTATGAAAATAGCTTGTAAGCTAAGGTGACCAGATGTCCCGCTTTTGGCGGGACAGTCCCAATTTTTAACAACTTTTCCTGCATCCCGCAGCATTTTTTAAAAGTCCCGATTTTTGGAAAGAATGCATGACAAGCTAGGGTATATGGTTTTCGGCTGCCATGTGGCTATTTCGCCAGGATATGAGTTTTACCAATGGTGTCCCGCTGTTGTCCCGCTTTACCAATGTTAAAATCTGGTCACCTTATTGTAAGCCCACTTGTCTTCATCCATTAAAATTGGATTGTTAAGTGGGTTTAGGACATGCCTGCAAAGAAGGCTCTGAAAAGATAAGCTCAAACCAGTGTCTTGAGTGCTCAGGCCATTCCAAGGTTAAGAGGCTTGCCAGGGGGACTGTTGACAGATTGAAGGGAAAAAAAGGAACTCTGGATTTTTGAACTTTGAACTAGTGGTTTTTGTCAGAAGCTGGAAAAACTCTGGAACCATGAAGGAATTCTCCTCTCTAGGACTGAATGTTAAAGGGAGCCTGAAATGCTTGATAGGTGACCACCTGGATTCTCAACCACCTGAGTTGAGTGGAAGTGAGAGAAAAGCAACAATAGAGAGACTGATTGAGTCTGGCCACTGACAACCTATGGACCTGGTTTATAGGGACTAGAGAAGAGGAGAGCAGGTTGACGAAGTTTATGGGGCTAGGATTGTTGAGAATTTGTGACAGGGCGCATGGTCGAAAGGTGAGGCAGCCAATGGGCACCCTGGTGAGACTAAATGAGGCAGCCCACATTGAGTTAACCAGAGCCCAACCAGATGAAGAGAAGATTTTTGAGCCTGTGAACTGGTGCATATTCCTGCTGACTTTATGGATGGCCTGTCCTGGTTTGACTTTACTAATGGATGCGAGCTTCACAAAGTTCCCACTGTAATGCAGAGTCTTTATGTCAAAGAATATGATTTCCTCCTCAAAGCACTGGGTTGATGTGAGTGAGCAGTACAGAATTGGGATACCCAAAGATGGGTGGATAAAGGCTTGAAGTGGCTGGCTTCCAAAATTTAATAGGTGAGGGAATATATTCATAATAGGTGTAGGTGTAACTTGACTGCAATTGTTAGGCATAGAATATTGTGTTGTTCACTTATAGAATATTATGTTTGAGACTTTGGCATATAATGAATTGTATGCATTTTAGTTTTATCCTGTAAGGTAGAGATATGATTTTGTTTAAAAATTATATATGGCTAAAGAGTTCTGTAAAAGGGTCAACTTGACAACGGCTGGTCTGTGGTAGTTACATAATCTCCTGTCAACTTGCGAAGGGGTGGAATTTGGCCTATCAACCAGGTCGCAGCTTGATGACCTCATTTGGAGGTACGAAGAAGATAAATAGCTCACTGGAGGCCAGATACACTCTCACTCCCTGCGAAACATTCCTGTTGAAAAGCCATATGGAGCTATGCTGATAGACCCAGAGCCCTGGAGCTGGAGGAGCCATGTGGATACCCACCTCCCCACCCCCACGCCCAGTGCTGAGATGCTTCCACCACCACTGAATCCATATAAGACTTTCCACCCACTGGCCTGTGATCTTCCTGTACTCGGCATTATTGCATGGCTACGTGAGTCTGAAGAGGAATTTATGGCCTACTACTGACATATGGGGTAATATGAGACTTATAGACTTGATTTGGACTAAGCTGAAATGTTTTCTTAATGTACAATTGCTCATTGATAAAAAGATTTTTCGAGTCTCCCTGGATTTGTTTCTCTAGTCTACCCAGACTAACATACAATGCTATTTACTATAGCTATACAAAAGATGAAATACTTAGTAATAAATATAACCAGAGAAACAAAAGAGTTATACAAAGACAATTACAAAAGAAATTAAATGAAATCCACAAAAATGAAAGACCATATGAAGTTCATGAATAAGAAGCCTTAACATTGTGAAAATGCCAATACTACCCAAAGTGATATATGAATATAATGAAATGTTGATCCATATCCCAGCATCATTCTTAAGAAATGGAAAAGCTAGTCACCAATATTATATCAAAATTAAAGAGCCCAGCATAGCAAAGCACAACTCAAGAAGAACAGAGTTGGAGGGCTCTCACTTCTCGACATCAGAATCGACTACACAGATGTTTACTACTTTTACTCACTGTCGAGTCGATTCTGACTCGGCAACCGTGTAGTACGGGCAGACTATCTGTCACCCTCACGGTATCAAACATCCAGTAGTTTGATAAGATGTTCTTGATGAAACTGTGAAGAAATGCATGCTAATGGGAATGTAACCTCTCTGAAGATGAAATCAAAGTCATGCTTCTTAGCCAGCAATCCTAACTTTTTACACTGGCAAAAAAAAGGTATTGAAAACCTGCTGTGACTAAAGCTATTTGTGGTAGCTTGGTTTGTAATAGCAAAATACTGGAAACAACCCAAAGGTCTAGCAAGAAGAGGACTGATGTCCCCTGGACTGTCCCTTGTGGTTAACATGCACACAGTGGAGGATTCTGCAGATGGGAAAGTGGAAAAAGGCCCTCTCTGCAAAGACCTATGCAGTGTGTGTCTAGATAGGGTAAGTGGAAAAAAACCAAATGGCTAAAAAGTGGTACCATATGGGGGTACGATTCATAAATTTGTGTGCCCTCCTTGCACAAGGGCCATGCTAATCTTCCCTGTATGGTTCCAATTTTTTCGTATATGTGCAGCCGAAGTGAACACTTGTCTTTTTAAAAATAGGAGAAAACCAGAAAGACACTGAAAAATTGAAGACTAAATCTTTTCCTTTTTAAAAATTTTTCCATTTTATTTGAAATCTTTTTTTTCCAGTTTTTTTTAATCGTTTTATTAGGGGCTCATAGAACTCTTATCACAACCCATACATACATCAATTGTGTAAAGCACATTTATACATTCATTTCCCTCATCATTCTCAAAACATTTACTCTCCACTTAAGCCCCTGGCATCAGCTCCTCATTCCCCCCCCCTTCCCTCATGAACCCTTGATAATTTATAAATTATTATTTTGTCATATCTTT